TAAATGGTTCCATAAAGAACCTTTAACATCTGAAGAACCTTTCTGTTTGACAAAAGGTTCTTTGTGGTGAAAGAAGGTTCTTCAGATTATAAAAAGGTAAGAAAGAGATGGTTCTTTAAAGAACCTTTGACTGAATGGTTCTTTGTGGAACCAAAAATGGTTCTTCTATGGCATCGCTTGAAGCACCTTTATTTTTAAGAGTGTAGACAGGTAAAGAACATGACACTAGATCCTTATTTAAAGAAGAATTAAATGTGGAGACCTACATTCTACAAATACTCAAGAGTTGTTTGCTGTACAAAATGGTAACAGGGTTGAAATATTAAAGTTGGTCCCAACTGAGAAACATACAAAATTATATAAAAGACACATCCTTGCACAGTTTACTTCATGAACAGATGATGTTGCAATATAGACATAATTATATGACCTATAGCACATTTAAATAAAATAAAGAGTTATGATGTCAAAAGGGTTGAAATACCTGGGGACACAACTTTAACCTAATCTAATAATACTTTAAGAATAAGGGGATGTTTCTAGCTTGTACATATAAGGGGGGAAATTAACGGATTAAAATTTAAAATTTTATTTTACAAAAATGCTTTCATGCATAGTGAAAGTATTCCTATGCAGAAAAGTAAATAACAGATTAATTTTGAAATAAAAATAAAAATTGCATTTTGTTTTTTTTTCTCAAATGTATTACTGTTAACAAACGAAGTTTGAATGTTTGTACATTTGTTTTTACAGCTATGTCAGATGTGAGTCCAGGGAGTTTTGAAAATAATCAATGTACAGGTAAGTTTAATAATTGTATCACACATTTAAACTCACATTTTTAAATGTTTACTGTTTTACAAGTGGAAGCCCCCTGCTAAATCACCTGTGGTATTGCAGTTGCAGAGAGGGCTATTCTTGAGTCACAGGGAGAAATGGACTGGAAAATCAATCACCTGACTGCACTGGTTCAGTGTCTTGTGGGGAACAGATGCTTTGTGCCACCACTGCAAATAGAGGATGAGGAAGAGGATTGTGTCTTGCCTTTGATGTCAATGGGGGATCTTGACCGATTGGAGCAAAGACTTATGGATAGAGGGACGATGCAAAAACTGGTAAGAGTCTTTGGAATTATGGAATTAAAGAAGTGACTGAAATTTTGGAAGAACTTTTATTTATAATCTATATTTAATTTCTGTTTTAGGTGAACAGATTGTCTGTTAGTGGAGGTCAAACTATGAAAAAGACCATATGGAGAATTTGCACCAAAGTTTTTGCTTCCAATGTGGCCAAACAGCTCAACTGGTGCGGACGGGGAGACAAGCGAGGCTTAAGAAAGACAAATATCGGAGCACTAATAATAGGTATATCCAAAATAAATGGAATGCTTTTATGGATAAAAGTATTATAGTTGTTGTTGTAATTACATATCTCAGTCAAATCGCATGTGAATATATTTTAATTTTAAAATTTAAAAGGAATTGCTCAAAAACTTATTCTTGTGCTCACTAAAATGTTACAATTGCATACATATGCAAAGTCAGGCCTGTCTGCTCTAGTTCAGTAATATTATGTTCAGTAATAAATTAAATAAAAAGGTTGATTTGCTTCTTGGTAAACTAGTAATTTGATCTTTTTAACACACAGCTGCAGCTATGAGGAACAGTGTCCTCTTGGCTCCCACAGAAGCGGAGGCAGAGAAATGTATCAAAGATTACCTGCGTTTGGCTCCAGGGAGGACATCCTCCTAATCTGTAGTAAAAATGTCAGTTTTGTATATTACATTGCTTGTACAGAGAATGACTGTATTTCATACTGTTAAATAAATAATTTAATAATTCCTTGAACTGTTGTTCAGAAGTCGAAATGATTTAGAGTAGTTGGAATAGGGTTATTAACATGTCCATGGTTAGTGTCAGGTTTTTTTTTTTTAAATCAATATAAGGATTTTAAGTAAATATTTTAAGAAAGTTAAGATTTTTTTTTTTAGATGCAACAAAGCTTTGTCATAAAATACACATATTGTCAGATTTCTTAAACTAGCTTTAAGATTTTTTTTCTTTAACTAGTGTTAAATTGTCTGTATCTGAAGTAATCAGTAAATTCAATGGACAACATAAAATAACTTGTTTTTATTTTGGGCCTGAGGTGTAAAAAGCAATAATATTTTCATAAAATAAAGAACGTTCAAGCAAAAAATAAAGCATTTTTTCCCACCTCAAAAGCTCAGGCACACAGGACATCCATTCCTGAGAGTTTTGTTTATATTGTTTTTATGCATATTAGTACCTTAAAAGTACATAGATTCCTAAAGTGTACATACATGTACCTAAATGGTACATTTTACATGCATGGTACATTAATGGTGCATTTTAAAGTGATAACAGTTGTACATTTTTTTATTAGTGCGCATCGTTTCTTTTTTTTTTATACCAGATTTTAAGTAAAAATGTTTAGAATTTAAAGATTTTTTGCTTTAACTAGTTTTAAATTGTCCTGTGGTGTGGAAAGTACAAATATTACATGTAATCCTTAAATTAATGTGATATTAGAAAATGTGATAAAGCTATAAATTACATGTCAGGTTAGTGTAAAACCAAATGCACTCTAAAAACGTTGATATCTTGGCCAATAATGTATATGAAACTTGCTCAGCAAACATTGATAAGAAGATACTCAGGGTTACCGGTTATCAGGAAACTGACAGGATGTGATGTTGCAGTAAGCAGCCAAAACCGTTTTGAGGAGAGGAAAAAGCTGACATGTGTAACATTAGAAACCCATGTTTTCACCACGCGTCGAAGCTGCGTCATGCACAGAATCGCAACTGATCTGTCGGTTCGTGAGTTTCATACAAAAAGCTTTAAAGTGATCTTTTGTGCCACCCTGTGACTTGGCATGTGGCATTGTCTTAAGAGTAAACGCTGGCCGTTTATTAATGTGTTAAAATAAACAAAGGCTTCTGTAATATTTCACTGTGTGCATCCCATAAGGTTTAGGGGTGTTTCAGTCTAGTTTACCTTTTTAGCTCTTTCTTGAAATCACATCGTTTTGAGATGGGCTTCAGTTGGCTTGGGTCAAATATTTTCATTGATATACTATTATAGTTTTTGAGTTTTTTAATATTTCTATTATTTTTTATTTCAAGTTGAATTATTTTAGTATAAAATAAATGAAACCTATAAAATCAATAAAATATGGAAATATTGCTTTGGCAACTAGCTGAAATGAAATATTTTATTTAATTTCAGTTAATGTTTATTTAAATACATTTTTATGGTTTTAGTAATAGTTTTAGTTAACGATAACAATTTTGGTATAAATTCATAAATGCATCATATTAACATATAAAACAGTAAAGGTGTTTTAAATCATAACTTTCTACTTGTGTGAAATGCCTCAATATTTAGTTAAAATACTGAATATTTGTATTAATATATGTAATCTCTCTCTTCCCTGGCTGTATTTAGATGACGACTCTCAGCTGTCTGTGGCAGGGGTCCAAAAGCAGGTGCATCCGAGACGTAAGGACCTGAATCTGTATGAAGAATACAAACGCAGCCGAACTCTGAGAGGCCGTAATACAAACCGACGGCGTGAGCTGGAGCAGACTCTACCGCAGGCTCTGCTTGCAGACTTGGTAAGGGAACGGAGGGAAAAGACTCGTCTTCGAGTGGCCCGCTGGCGTGCCAAACGCAAATTACAAGCCTGTCTGATGGCCTCGCAGGCTGCGCAGTTTAGCAGAGCCTCTGTGCAGAGTTCACCTGCCCAGCGTGGCGGCCTGATCTCCACCCGCAGGCGAGGCGGAGCGACGGCGCCGCACGGTGGGCTTGGATTGAGAAGGGGACTGTCAGAGACTGGCACATACAATCTGCTGCTGCAGCTGGGGCCCAGTCCTACTCAATCTGCAGCGGCACATGACATCAATGTAGGTCTGATGCCGTCTGGCCTCTCAGCGCTATCACAGCACAGAACCACTGCACCTAGATGAACTTACCAATGATGCAGCGTTTACTTTCTGGTGGAAACACACTAATGAATGACGGCGCTGAGTTGTTGTCATCTTAATGCTTAACAAAGTGACATTTTCTGAAGCAAGGCACTTTTTTCATAATACTATAAAACTTAAAAACAAAACCTCATACTGATCTGTGCAAACCTCATGCATGGCAAAAATTGGACTATTCAAAAACACATTCATGTTTACTTTGACCGTTGCAAACTGAATCCAAATTGAGTAGAAAAAAAACTGGTTATTTAGTAACATTAAACAACTCAGACTGCATTATAAAATGCATTCTAAATTCAACTGAGCTGAATAACGTAAACTAAAAAGGTACAAAAATATTTTCCAAGGATATTGTGGTCATCGGTGAAGAAATTTGTGCCCTGCATGCAGTGGAAACTGACATTTGTCAGCATCACGTGCTTGCGGAAATGTTTTTCATCTGTATTTTTGACTGCAGTGTTCAGGGTGGTTTGAAATACTAATATGGTTCATTCATTGAAATATACCTTCATGTTCAATTTTATTGCCTACATTTTTCTAATAAACGGCATTGTCGGCAATAACCATGTTGACATTTTTTTGTTGACCAAAAAATGTTGTATGCCAGTGCTTTCTAAATGAGCACGCATTGCAAAATTGCTGTGGAAGCTGATATGTGTGTTCGATTTTGAGCAGGCAAATGTGGTTTAACAGAAAAAGCGGTGAATGCTGTTTATAGTTTCTGGAAATTAGTCTCTGTTTTGGTGGTTGATGTAATGGTATGTTTTGGTATGAAAAGGTATGGAATATTTTTATGATAAAATGCTCACGAGTACAGTTATTGTGTCAGTAATGGGGAAAATTGTAAACCAAGAGCCCTATCAGTTTTGGTTATTGATTCACTTACAGCTATCTTAGTTGTATTTTTTTTTAGCCAAAGTGACTTACAAAAAAAGTGCACATCATGTATTGTGACTGTCGCTTCCATAATTCAAGAGCCACACTAAAAATAACAACTGAAATACTACATTAACATTTCAGACTTATTCTGGTCTTTGAATCAGAACTTCATAAAGCTACATTTCTTACTTCATAACATACTACCAGTGCTATAGATAAATTCAGTTTAATTAGTATTCTGAGAAAGAACAAGAAGCTGAGAATAAATCGCTTTATAATTTTTTTGATCATTTCTGGTTTCAACACAAGGCAATACACTGTGTGTTTCACAAAGACTATGAAAAATGTTATTTTAACCCTTTGTAACAATCACAAATTTACATGACATTGACTCGTTGGGGTTGTGCTCGCTTGTTTTATGTCACTGCATTTACACAAATATTCATTTTTGAATTATTGCTGTCATTTTGAAAGTCACTTCATAATCTTTCATCTAGATTCAATGCACAACAAGTAGAACAAAATCTGACAGTTTACAGAAGGTAGGATGTGATTAATAAAACATGTTTCCTACAGTTTTCATGTGCTATGTTCAATGTTTTACGCGGTTTAAAGATTATTAAACATTTAATGTTGTGTGGATGTTACATTTGTTGGTGCATATTAAATAAAAGATTGTTCCTAAAATCAGAAAAGTTAGATATGCAGAGCAAGTGTTTAAATGTGTGCATCATTAAAGCAACAACAATAACAAGTTAAATATGTGCTGCTCATTTGTGTCCAGTTACTTAATCAGGGTGTTTGATTACCCATTGACTATCTTACTACTGATCGCCCCTGGTAGGGTGTAGAAGATAAGAACCAGGAACAAGGTCACAATCAGCAGCACCAGTCCGGCAATGATGTATTTCTTGTAGTTCCCCCAGATCAGGTGAAAGAAGCACTTGAAAGGATTCATAAACCAGGAGAAGGAAGTGTCTGGACGACTAGAGAAAAGTCAAAGTTTGATATTAGAAATAATTCACATACAGTATATAGTACATAGAGTAGAACTACCTTAAACACATGTAATTAAATTCAGTTTTCTAATTATATTGGCCTGTATGTGTTTAATTTGATTGACAGCCCTGGTAATAATATGAATAAAAACATCTGAAATAGGTGTTAAAATAAGTGTATTAGTCACATTACTTTGGTTTCTCTAGAGGCTCTGGTTCCTTGCGTGCACGTCCCACTGGATTTTTCTCTGCCTCTTCAGCTGTTACCAGATGAAACTCCGCTTCTACCTTCCCCTACGAAAAGAAAAATTGAAACACTACTTTTATTAGGTCACATGTTTGTGTAAAGACATTCCCATACCTACTGCTTTGTATAGAACAAATGAAAACGGATAACATAATTACATTTAGAGTAAACTAGTCAAAAGTTTAGGTTTAGATTGTTTGCAAACAAGGAGCCATTGAGCTTTACACAGAGTTTAATTCACACTTTTTTTTTCAGTGAAATAATTCAATTCACACACTGTGAGATCTCCAGCTTTAATGAAGGGCCACCAGCCTTTGGAGCGTTTCTGCTGGAAGATAGAGATGTTCTCTGTGGTTTCTGTCAGCATTTCCATCCTACAAGCTTTAGCTGATTTAGCTCCACGTGGAAACCCATGCAGGTCCAACTCCACTGAGCCTATGGACACATAAAAATGATCTTCATGAAGTATTAATAACTATTTTAAGCCAAGTTTCTTAGGTATAATTGTGTGTTTTTGCTACTCAAGTAGAGGGACTGTGAGCTAAGTCAAATCCCATCAAGAGTGACAACAGAGCGGTTCTAGGGAGGACGTGATGCATATAAAACAGATGCAAATGTAAGCATGTTAAACAAAAGAGATTCTTACCCAGGAAGTCATCAGAAGAAAGCCTCTCAAAGTCCCACACCTGCATAACAAGGACTGCAGGGATCTTCTGTTCAGTTTTGTCCAGAGAGAGGATGCTTTCTCGCTTTTGTATCACCACCACTTTCTCAGCCGGCAGGTAGTTAAAGGGGAACACAAAGCGCCAGTTGAAGTTGCCCTCTCCAGTCAGAGAATTGTAATGGACATCAGTTTCCTGGCTGTCATCCTCAAGCCCCTTTAACCACCTAAAGAAAAACATGAAATTCACCAGAGTTTACTTAAAACACTAAAGCATTAATTTTCAGAAAACTTTTTGCAACAATATCTACACTACCATTCAAAAGTTTGAGGTCGGCAAGTCTCATGTTCACAAATGCAGCATTATTTAGTCAAAAATACACTAAGACAGTAATACTGTGAAACATTATTACAATTTAAAATAACTGTTTTCTGTTTTAATATTTTTTCAAATGTAAATGTAAATCTGAATTTCAATTCATTGAATCAATTCAATGCATCCTTGCTGAATAAAAGTATTAACTAACATATATATATACACACACACACACACACACACACACACACACACACACACACACACACATTCACTCATATATCTTACTGACCCCAAACTTTTAAACAGTAGTATATATTGGGAGACTTTTTCAATATATAAATAATTAAAGATTGTCTATATTTATTGTGATACACTTTTTGCGATTACACTTTGACATAAATGTCACTTGACTGCTGTCCTGTTATGAAGTTGGTGTCCTCCAGTATGACATCTTCAGTGTTCCAGATAATGATCCTCAACTCATAACTTTATAAAAAAAACAAATAAAAAAACATAAGATGTGTCAAACAAGTATTAATTTTACAGCACAACCCAGTAAGATGTTTAGTGGATCTTACCCTTTGGGTTTGCGAGGGGAAATATCCACAGGAGGGCCAGGATGAGGCATATCCATGGGAAAAATGTCCACCCACATCTGCAGATGACCCTGAGAAACATCCCTGAGAATCACTCCACCACCCAAATTACTCATATATGCATTCTTAATGTATATATAGTGCATTAAGGTTGCATAATCCTTTAAACAACACACAGCACCTGGTCTATTCCTGGTTTGTCTTTGAGGTAGAGTGCGCGAGTTTCAATATGCTCTGGCACAAGTTTACAACCACCATTGGGCATCTCAGACCACCTTTGCAGCACCTTCAGAGCCAGGTGCTCGTACGACTCCACCATCTGATCTGTGAAACAGAAGCAAATACTTGTGGTACATTTCTCCTTTAATTATTAATCAACAATATTTGATGTCCGCCAAAATAATTACCTACCTTCATCAGCAAATACAGTTTTCCCTGTAAAAACTTTGCTTCCAATGGTAATACGTCCTGGAGAAAAGTGAGGGTTGTCCAGTTTGTTTCCTTGGCAAAGCTTAATCAACAGTTCTGTTGGCTTGATGCAGTCCCTCCATGCATTATAACCCTCTCTAGGTCACATGAGATCATCAATTGATGCATCAAAGGTGGACATGAAAATAACTTCGATAGAAGATGAAAATGTTATAAGTACTCACATGGCATATTCAGTAGGCAGGCCGCAGGTAGCTCGATGCCTGCTGTAAAAACGGTTCTCTAAATCAATCTGTGTTTCTCCAATCAAATCATCACCGCCAACAGTGTCATAGTCATAGATGAGAATACTTAGCAGGGACTCCTTGGGGAAAGTGGCTTGAAATTCAAAGGATCTGAACAGCAGAGAAAGATGAAGAGAGAATGAACCTCAAAGAAACACAGAGTTAGTAGAATTTCAAAGTTCATTGTGCTCGTTCACCTTCCAAACACTGGGTTGAGCTGCTTTGGGATGTAATTGGCTCTGTCTTTGATCTCAGTTTTCCCAAGTTTCAGCACTATGTAAGGGTCTGCTTTGCCATCTGGGTCCGCAGGGTGCAGGTTGAAGGCCTAAAATGCATAAAAGAGTGACAAATGACTGTATCATGTGAATATTGATGAACAGAAAGCTCAAAAGAAAAGCATTTGTTTTGAAATAGGAATCTTGTAAAAGCCTTTACTGTCACTTTTGATCAATTTAATGTGTCCTGGTCCACTAGTCAAATCAGCAACAGACCAGAAATAACCCTCATCAGTGAAACTAGATCTATTTCATTTTAAAGCATGAACAAATAATAAGTAACAATTATCAAAAATGAGTACAATAAGTACTTTCAACAGAATCAAAAACTGCACTTACTGCAACTATGTACACACGGATAAGGACGTCCACGGCAGTGTTTGGAGGAATACCCTGGTTTATTTTAAACTGCCCAGAATCCAAATATCCATCCTCCTCCTCATCATCCATTTCAGGCAGCTTGTACAGACAGAACCTGCCCTGATGGCACAATCAATGATGGGAATTCTGTGACCTGGATCTTAAAAAGCCTCCATGTATATAATGGTACTTCAAAACCACTTTACCTTAAACTTCCCAACAAATCTTTCATCAGCAGAACCTTCTTCCTCATTGGCCTTTCCTCGATAGAGTTCGAAGGTTTTAACCCAGTCGTCAAAAGGCCCAAACTTTGTTTTCTTTTTGCTTTGCCTAAGAAAGAAGTTGTGGTAGTGGTAGAACTAGTTAGCAAAAAAAAAAAAGGGTTTATATATTTATTTATTCTTTAACTAGTTTGGAAGCTTACCAGTTGGATCTTCTCCATTGATGCATAGTATTTCGACCACCAATCAATGACATTATCAGCAGACTCATCAGCTGTGGTGCGTTTCTTCCTTTTCGTAGATGTTCGTTTGCTCTTCTTCGACACCTGGCATTGATGAAGTCATAGTAGATTGGTAATGTATGCATGTGTTTATATGCTTCTACTTGGGGGGGGGCAGGATGTTTTAGATACATATTTGGTAACACTGGTGTTGATGTGATGTTTTCTCAAATGTATCCAATTCAAAAACAAACCTTCTTGTCCTGGAAGTCTGGCTCAGTTTTAGAGGCAGGGGTGATTATTTCCTCCGGCTCTATTTCAATGGCGATCTCCTCATCAGGCGGTGGCACAACACTCTGCTGCAGAGACAGCTGAGCCACTACAGGCCAAAAACAAACCATACTTTAAATTAGATTTAGACAATCATTTTTATTTATTGCTCAGTGGGTTTAGGGATTTATTAAAAAGCAAGATTAAGCATCCTGTCCGAGACCATCTGGGATTATATATTATTGGGGGCTGGGGATCATAGTATTTTTCCTAGACATTAATTATTTCATGCAAGAGGTATAGGTTAGATTTTTTGTTGGGACAAAAATCTCTGGGACTAGAACTGGGATGTGCGTTACCTGCCATGTTTTTGGGTTCCGGTTTAGGCTGTTGAACTAATGTGGGGATGTGTTTGAATAAGGCCAGGTTGTTGATGATATGACTACCCACAAGTGTGCTCCGCCCAAAGGCCCTCCAGTCCACCACAGTGATAGTAAGAGGAGGGAGGAGGTATTCGTCTTCAGGCAGCTCCTACAGACAGATAACAGCGGACACAGACATGCTGAGATCAGCTGAACGCTTAGCGAGGAATCACGTGAGCAGAGCGATGGGGACAACACCATATACCCTGTTATTGCAGCAGTTGGCTTACCACATCAAAGGCATCTACAAGTATTGTGAAGTTTGGGTTTTTCTTGTAACTCTGTATGACTGAAGAGTTGACGCCTCCTCCTGCACACTTGATAAAAACTTGGGGCCGATCGACAGACAAAAGCTGAACTTTCTTCAGCTCTCTGAGGCCCCAGAACAACACCTGCAGTGCACAGAAACAAAAAACTCAACTAGACTGGTATAAATAGTACAGACAAAACACTAATAGTGCATTGAAAAAAAGCTACATTTATTTACCAAAGAGTCAAAATAGTAGACCCATGTTACAATTTTGTAATTGACAAAACACTTCATTACACATAAGCAATTTTGAGCACAAATGTAGTAACACCTAATAATAGTGAGACTTGATATATGCTGTAGACCACAAGACTATTTCCAACTACTACCATACAGTTTTGTCTACATGTGTAAACGCTGATCAGATATTGAATGACATTTGAGAGATGCTTATAAAACTAAGAGGAATTCATAACACTTTTGGGAAAAGATCATTGATTTGAGATTTAGTGGTTTGACACCAAACGAAAAAGCTCTGACTAAAGGTTTCAGAACAAGATGTAACAAGTTGACACATGAAAGATGTAAATACATCTAGCAGAAAGCCAACTCAAAAGCCAAAATTTGTTGCATTTATAGGAATTGCCCTGAATAGGTTTATACAATGCAACAATGCAGTTAAACCTGAATTATTTAAATCTGTGCCGTATGCATGTTGTTTAAAAAAATCCATATACAGTTTTATAAAAAAAAATACAGTAAATAAATATATATAAAAAAATTTTGTATGAGGGGGCTTAGATTTTGTTCATGAACACATGAAATCAATGGCTCATAAATGATTTTCAAGAATAATGATGGCCTTCGATTCAAATGACTAACGACTGTGAATCTAAAAGAAAACACAGTCACAAAGTTTACAATCAGTGTATGAAATGAAACTCAAAATCTGTCTCACACTATGCAACGACATGTAATTTGTTTACAATTTACTGCTTGAAATATTTTCACATTTACAATTGTCAGCTTAACTAGAGAGCAATGCAACGTGCTTTCATAAGAATGGTAATAAAGTGTTTTCCCTGTTTTTATTTATTTATTTTTGTACTTTACACTGACCACAAGTCATGGATTGTTCACCTCAATTCTGTACTTGCAGAGCACAGGTCGAATGTATGAGGGTACTGGAATAACCCCTCCATCCGGCTCATCTAAATCAGGAAGTGTATTTTCTCCTGACTTTGAGATCTACAGGATCATGGGACAAGATATACAGCAGATACCATATTACTTTCTGCATTAGATTATACATGTTAGTTGAACATATAAATAGCATTTTATTTTTAGTAATAGTAATAAATAACCGATTCAGCCGCATTACTACATTGTTACATTGTAAATGTGCTGTGTTTGTTAGACTGGACCTGAATAAGTTCAAACGCTCCCAGTATGTCTCCTCCTGACAGGCTGCCACAGAACAGAGGGCTGTACTGCAGCTGAGGAGGGGAGTATCGCTCATCTGACAGTTTGACTACAGGAACAGCCATTGTCGACCCCAGGTACTCTATACCCTGGAGAGAGCAAACCATTGCTTCAGCTCAAAACATTTAAGACAGACTGAGAAATATTGCAAAGTAGAAGAGAAACAATACAACTTTTTTCAACTGCATATAAGGGTTAATTAAATAACAGGACAATCCACACTAGGAGAAGACCTACATCTGTAGTGTGTATACTTAAGTGAATGTGTTTTCCTCACCACTGCATCATCATCATACACCTCAATCACAACTAGCGGTGGCTCCTGGACCATTTCATAAAGCCCTCCATACAGACACACATTATTTATCAGGATCAGCTGATTCCATGTAGGAGTTAAAGTTTGCTTGATGATCTAAAAAAATGATAAAATGAACAAATGTAAATGACCTTTTCACATTATAAGGTAAGGTTATTTGTTTTATGAGGGGCCGTACAAGCCATAATTCATTCTGGCACTCTCACACACTTACATTCTCCTTTCACATACATATATTTTTGCTTTCACATACTTACATCCTCCTTTCACATGCATACATTTCTACTCTCACACACTTACATTCTCCTTTCACATGCATACATTTCTACTCTCACACACTTACATTCTCTTTACACATGCATACATTTCTACTCTCACACACATACATTCTATATATGTATGTATGTGAAAGGAGAATGTATGTATGTCTGAAGAAAATATGTGTATGTAAGAGAAGAATGTATGTATGTGTGAGAGAGAGTTTAGTGGAAACGGAAGGCAGGTCGGGCGTGATCAGGGTCACCGGGACAGGTCATGATCAGAATGGCTGACGTGATGAGGCAGCCGCATAAGTATTTCAGCAAGCTATTTGGATTAAAAAAAAAATATTATCATAGTGAAAAGGTTACATGGCCTCCTCCCTTGAGCGAGTCGTGATTGAGGATGCGGGCTCAGCCTCAGTCGGGTTGCCAGATATACGCATTATAGGCGTATATGGATTTTTTTTCCCGGAGTGTCTATTTACACTAAGTGCAAATAGCCCGCCTTGTTGATAGAGGCTATTTACAGTAGCTCCACCCACAAATGTGTTATAGGGATAGTCAATACTATAAAAGACGGCACTTAATCATCAGCTTCAGTGGCGTAGATGGTAAAGCGCGCACCGTGGTCTTTTTGACGCAATAACTAATAAGAAAACTAATCGACACGAAGAGGAGAGAGATTTTTGAAACTGATTGGAATGTGTACTTTTAAAACTGGAGGGTTTTGTCCGAGTATGTTCTCACAACATTGAGCAGCGACTGATGAGCGGTAAAACCGGGAACTGAAATATGTTAGTCAAAATGGTGCTTGAGGACGTGGATCAAAACGGTAAATCAAAGACGGTGAAATTCTGTCAGTTCGCTATAATACACAGTTTAATCTTGACTTTCAGTGTTTATTACTGTGTTTATTGGCGTGTTGTTTGGCCATAATAGTTTAACTAGTCATTACTAGTTAATCAACTAGTCATTAAGTCAGTGGGTGAAAAACATGAACAAATTGAACAAAATCTATCCTTAAACAAGTTTTTCAAAAGAATTTGGTTTAACTGTATAATCTGTATAACTATGGATGTTGTATCATGCATTTTTTCTGCGAACAGCTGGAAAGAGTTAAACTTATTTTAAGCTGCATTGAAATTTGATGGTATATCATGCAAAGTTATTTGGTGATAGTGGTGTTGAGCCTGCTATTTTAACAGTGTAAATAGAATCTATTGCTATCTGCACTTACTGCAAATAGCCGCTGCCTTTGTATCTAATCTAAACTAGTGAAAGAATATTCTAATACAGAATATACTGGTGCAGTTAACAGCATCATCTATTGGATTTTTGTCTAGAATATCATCACACAAACTCATGCTTACACCAGTGCTTTGGCTATTGGACAGAAAAGACACCCAGGCAAAGGGGTCTGAAAGGCCAGTGTTATCTGCTGCAATGAGACCACGAGCCTGGTACATATGAGCCCTCAGCTGGAACAAGTGCTGCTCTGCAAACCAGCAACAAACAGGGTCAAACAGCAAGACAACATGCAAATCAGTTACAGATAAAAAGAATGGACACTGGGGAAAAAAACAAAAAAACAACACAGAGTGCCGAGCAATCTTGCCTGTGTAGAGTAAATAATCAGGAGGAGGGCCAGTCCTGTCCTCAGATGAGATACCTTCCAGTTCAAAGCCTGATGGGAGATTGTCCAACATGTGGAATGAATCTCTGGAAGTTCCCAGCCATAAATACACATCGAGTTTAGCCTGGACTGTCCACCCTGGTCCTCGCTTCCCTGGAGGCTGAAAGATACATTTCCTTTTAAAAGCTACAGGAGAAGTGCCAACAAAATGTATTTCAGCATTTGTCAGTTTTCTATTTTATGTGATTTGCATTTGATTTCAGAGTTCAGACCTTGAGGAACAGGGTGTTGATCTTCCCACAGTCTCGGCCTCTCTGCTCTGGGCTTTGTGAGAAGAGTAGGTGACGAGCAGGGATTCTGGCATACGCCAGACGCTTGTTATTACTGACCAGACACACAAACACATCTGGTAAAGTGTGTTGAGGCTAAGAAAGGCGTGAGATGAAGAGAAATATTAGTAATGATGGAGACTTACATTATACATATAAGAGGTCAAGGATGTGCATATAATAGTGACACAAAATAACAACCTCTTCCACGAGGAATCTCAGTTTCTTTTTAATTTTCTGGACTTCCAGCATCATCTCTTTTACAGTCAAAGATCTCCTCTTGGGCTCAAGGAGTCCTCCAGCTACTTCAGTCATACTTTCCTAAACAGCAGCAACACTTTTTTTTTTTTATTGAACCTACAAATTAATTTCTTTACAAATTTTATATTTTGGATGTGAAATGAATGAGTTGGACTAGACTGTGGAGGAAAAGCCGCAATGAGCAGTAATTCATAGTCATACAGGAATAGTAAAAAATAAATAAAGAATTTTTTAAAATTATAAAAAGGGTTAGAATGACGTTTTACAGATTTTTTTACAAAAAAAATGAGAGCATGCACAGAATAGACTCACCAGCTCCTGTTTGCACAGAGTGAGCCTCTTTTTGTCCAGTAAGGTCAAGATGCTTGCCTTCACCTTCTTTTCAGCAAAAGCAATAAACTCACTGCAGTAAACATACCATTACATCCAGCAGAAACATAATTAGGACACAGTTTTAGAATTTCATTGAAGAGAGTACATTAAAGGGATAGTTCACCCCCAAATTTAAATTCTTTCATTATGTACTCATGTTTTTACAAACCTGTATCTTTCCTCTGTGGAACACTAAAGAAAAATGTCCCAATTGTTTTTGTCCATACAATGAAAGTCAGTGGGGTCCAAAACAACAGTAGATCCCACAGTCTTTCATTGTATGGACTAAAAAATAAAAAATAAATAATAATGGACCACGGATAAAGAAAGTCAGACAAGTTAGTAAATTAAGACAGAATTTTCATTTTTGGGTGAACAAACCTCTTATAGGGCTCATGAGCAATACATTTTCTTTGATCTTGTGAAATAAAACACTTGATTTTGCTATGAAAATATTTTCCTTTCATAATGCAGAACAGTGATACAAAAGTAATAACTAACACAACAGTGACACCTATTGGGTGTTCAGAAATTAGTTTCACCCTGTCATGGTGTATAAGGCAGTGGTTCCCAACCCTGGTCCTTGAGGCACCCCAACACTGCACATTTTTCATGTCTCCTTTCTCTGACGCTCCAATTTCAGGTCTTGGAGTCTCTACTAATGAGATGATGACCTGAATCAGGTGTGTTTGATTAAGGAGACATGCAAAACGTGCAGTGTTGGGGTGCCTCCAGGACCAGGGTTGGGAACCACTGGTATAAGGTACGAAATTGGAACATAAAACTATTAACATTATGTATGAACATTAACAGTATGCTAATAATGGTAAAGAGCTTTTGTTCTGTTATCACTTAATATCTACATTAATTCCACAGGGATTCCCTATGGCCTTTAGACCTACCTGGCATCTCTTCTAAATTCCCGAAGAACAAGGTGCATGAGAGTCATTGCTTCTGGAGACAACATTTTATCCAATTCCGCCACCTTAGCGATTCCCTCCTCCTGATTAACATTAAATGAAAAGAATCACATGAACTACAAACTGATTTCATGGCAATGTGATAAAAGATTACTAGGTTGAGGGTTCACATACAAACATCAGGGCAATTGTGTCCAGCATGTTGGCATGATGGAGTCGGTATGCTCGATCCTCCCAGCTGCTATAAACATACACACAGGGCTTTTGCGCTCCGATGGGCAAGTGCATGTAGTGCCTGCACAAACAAGATTATGGGGCCAGTTTTGTTCATGACTAAAGGTATTTTCCATTAATTAATGAAGGTATAAACTTGTTAGTGTTGTTTGATCCAAGCACCTCTGTGCATCTCCGAAAAGAGGTCTTTCTGGTGTTGTAGTAGATTTGCAGGGCATTGTTGCTGCAGTGTCCAGAAGTGGAGTGGTCACTGAGACATCTTCAAGCTTTTTTTTTGAAGTAGGCTGCGCAGTACCATCAATTAAGTTCCCAAAGTTACCTGAATAAACATGTACACATTTAAAGGGGTCATACTATATGTATAATCATATAATTGCTAGTTCTTCAGGTGTTTAAGAATAATGGCATGTATCATGCCTTCCTAAAGATCTTAAATGTTTTCCCACCCCCACTCCTAAAATCATATAACAGTAACATAATTTTGACATAATCTGTTCAAATGACATTTAGTACATTACAGTTTTGATTTTTAGTAATTTTAACTACAAAAAAATTATATAATTATTTTTCTTTTTTAAATAAAAAATCTGTGCCCCACAAATTTTCTGCGACCTTGTTACCAAATAGTTACCACAAAGTTTGTCGATTACAAAGAACTGAACATTTCTAACAACTGTGACACTCAAAAAGAGCTTGAATGTATTCATTAAACTCAACTGTGGAGTTTGTTTTTGGACGAACTCTGAGAATTTTTCTTGAAACCCTCCCAAACAACATGTGGTGATGTAGGTGCTGTTTGACAATTTTCTTTAAGGTTTTCTGACCCTGTGACTCAACTATTTTCTGCAATTCTCCAGCTGTGGTCCTTGGAGAGTCTTTAGCCACTCAAACTCTCCTCCTCACCGTGCATTAGGACAATATAGACACACAAATAGGAATTTTCACTGCTCTAGCTCCTTTTCTTAAAGTCACTTTCTAATTTGTGAAGCTCAATTATCTTTTGCTGCACATCAGAAATATATTCTTTGGTTTTTCTCATTGTGATGGATGATTAAAAGAATTTGGCCTTTGTTTTCCCTCCTATTTATATTCCTGTGAAACAGGAAGCCATGACTGGATAAGTTCATGTTCATAATCACCCTGGTATGCTCAAAATTGTAAATATGAATGGGAATATACTTCACAGATATTTTACTCATAAGAATTTCTATGGGTGCCAATAATTGTGTCCAATGTGTATTTGAGAAAAACATTTATTTCATAATGATATTTCCCCCCATTTTCAATTGTTTTAGTTCAATGAAAGGTTAGATACTTGTGAATTTTTTCAAATAAAAAATCAAAATGATTAACAATGCAGATTTATTTTCACAGCCTTCTTTGATTATATTGACCAAGGGTGCCAATAATTCTGACCACGACTGTATATGCCATGTTGAACTTCCAGTGACCAGTATGAGAGAGTGAGAGTGATAACACCAAATGTAACACACCTGCTCCCCATTCACACCTGAGACCTTGTAACACTAATGAGTCACATGACACATCTTTCAAAAAAAGAAAGAATACAAATTTACTGACCCCAAACTTTTGAACTGTAGTGTATATTGTTAGAAAAGATTTCTATTTTAAATAAATGCTCTTCTTTTTAACTTTTTATTCATCAAAGAATCCTGAAAAAAGTATCACAGGTTCCAAAAAATATGAAGCAGCACAAAAGTTTCCAGCACTGATAATAAATCAGCATATTAGAATGATTTTTGAAGGATCATGTGACACTGAAGACTGGAGTAATAACTGCTGAAAATTCAGCTGCGCATCACAGGAATAAATTCGATTTTAATGTATTTTAAAATAGAAAAAAGTTATTTTACATTGTAATAATATTTCACAATATAAATGTATTTCCTGTATTTTTGATCAAATAAATGCAGCCTTGATGAGCATAAGAAACGAAAAATCGTTCTGTTCCCAAACTTTTGAACGGTAGTGTGTGTGTGTGTGTATATATATATATATATATATATATATATATATATTGCTATACAACCACAGTTACTGACCAGTATACCATAATATTAACCATACTACTAAAATAATACGCTATAAACAAACAAACAAAAAACAAACAAAACCAAAAACCACCAAAAAGCACCAATTGCTCTTATGCAATATGCGTTCTTAAAGAGACAGTTAAACTTTTTAAAACTGACATGCCGTCTTAAAAATGCGGCACTCCTGCATGACAATGCGAGACGCCAATTAATTGAAATAATGCAGAAATAAAATAAAATATAATTATTAGAGGAACAATTTAAACTTAAAACAATAAATACAAACGAAAATTGGAAATGTTGCCTCAACAACAAAATAAGTTACATTTGAAGGATTAAAATGACTAAAATTGAAATAAAAATAAAACTGTATAGACATATTCAAAATAAAAATAAAACTGTATAGACATATTCAAAATAAAAATAAAACTAATAAAAATAAATAAAATTACTATTAATACTGTATATCATTATAATTAACAAATACTATAATCATATATAAATAATACTAAAATAACACTCAATGAGGGTAATTAATAATGACAGATTATTTTGTTTTTTCCATTTTTTTTGTAATAAGCACTGGATTGCAAGCTTACAACTTGACCGAAGAATGACACCTCTACATAAGGATCTATGAGGGCTGTCGTGTCTCCAACAAAGGCTTTGGTCACGTTGGCCATAATACTGGAGTTTATTCTGGGAAGACCTTCTGCACGGTACACTATCACATAAAACCGAGCCCACGGCCGTTCAGGGTTTAAGCCTTCAGGAAGCAGGAGGTGCCTGGGGGAGGACAAATGATTCAGAATGATTATCATTCAGAATGATTATCTTAAAATAGAGATTTTTTAAATATTACATTCAATCTTTATAATGCCATAAAAACTCAGATCTTACTTTTCTATCTGTTCCTCGGCATCACTGAACTTCTGGGATGGTGCTGCAACATCACCCTTTCCTGACACGCCGATATCACACTTCAGGTGACCTTTCACCCCTGTGCGGATGTCAGCGGGGTCTGTGAGCGTGGCCCACTTATTGATGAACTGATGGCCTGGCACAGCAAGCACAAGATTTAGTGTTGTTTTACAAGCAGAACAACCAATAATCCAAATCTCAGGCCAGATTCTGAACTTGTATCTATCTATAGTTGAAGATGTGAGCAACTGTTTACCAGGTTGGGAGTAAACTGTCCCAACATCAATCTTGAAGGTTCCCACACAGTAGCTCTTCATGATCTTTGAGTGCATGACCTTTGGGAGAAGTGCACCAATGTGAGCTTTGCAGGTTGCGTCAAGAAAACAATTTTTTTTTTACATAGAGTAGCCTAAGCTCTTACTGATAGTTTGATGACTTTGTCAAAAAAGAAGTCTTGATTGCAAAAGAAGTCAAACACAAAATACTGTTGGGGCGAGAAGAACATGGCTGTTAAATTCTTGCCATTATCAGAAAGTGTCCATCAAAGACAGTATGTTCACCTCATTGTAAAAAGGAGAGTTGGTTCCTTCTTTCACAGACGTCTGCTTTTTCTCATCTCCAATTTCAATCACGACACTAGGGTCTATATTGTCCCCGACTAGCTGCCTAGCCTCTGTTATATTGATGGAGATCTTAGGAAGAACAGATTTTGGCTTTCAATATTAAGAATAACAGCTTTATCATCTATAAACAAGAAATAAGAAAGGCTGTGTTCAAACTTTGAAACTTTTACTCAAATTATATTGAACTCTAACCTGGAAATGTTGTGGTTTGCTTTCACCTTCCAAGATCTTGGCCACAGGTTTACACCTTTTAAGTCCAAAAAAAGTAAAAACATAAACATGTTGTACGAAAACTACAAGAAATAACACATTATGCTGTGTAAAGATTGGAGAGAAGAACGTGCCTCTTAGTATTAGCGATCTGTCTGAAGGAAGTATAGGATGCTTCAGCGAGTTCAGGCTGGGGTACGTCTACCACGTCTGGATTGTCAGGATTAGTTTCAGGCTCAGCCTCTAAAACGTAAAGATTAAACCAGCTCAGTCAGAATTAGTTTACGAGCATTTTAAACCTTTGTAAGGATCAGCGGTCCTATGTCTGAATTTATAGATTTGAATATCTCTGTCAACACAACCATGCCGTTAATCCTCATGAAATGCTCGGTCTACATCTTTACTTATGTAACATTGTGTTTGCTTTCATGCTTACCTAGAGCATTTTTGTTTGCGATTACAACACCCTTGTGTCCTTTCCTGTGTTTCTTCTTCCCTTTTATTCCAAACTTTTTGCTGAAGAAACATTGGAATATCAAACCATTGTAAATAATAACTCCTCTCAGTCTAACCATACATACAGATTTTTTCCCTACACTGTAAAAAAAAATCTGTAGTTTTTACAAAATAATTTTGGCAGCTGTGGTTGCCAGAATAATTTTGCAAAAAATACAGAAAAACTGTAAACACATTTACGGCCAAAAACTGTAAATTTTACAGTATAAAACTGTAATTTAAAAACAAGAAAATTTGAATGTAAACCAGTAAATTCAACAATGCACACTGCTATTAAAATCTGTTTTGTACCTTTAACATACTGACAACCACCATAATAATGCAGGTGGTAAAAGAGAAAGCCACACAAGAATCAAAGCTCATCACAAGTAGCTTTGCCACAAGCAGAAGTATACTAATATATAGAAGGTGCACAGAGTCATTCATGCAAACACAAAACACCATCATGGTAACACACATGATACTTAAATAATGCATTCAACTTTCATTAAACAACTGAAGATGTAACAAAGCACAAATATACATAACTAATAACAAAAACTACTAAAAAAAACATGATTATTTAAACAAAATCCTTTCAAATGTGGAGTGTCATGCAGGGAATTCTGGGAATATCAGTTTATAGTTTTTGACTGTAAATTATACATTGATTTGTTATTTTTACTTCTAAATTAACAGCATTTTACTGTAAAATTACATGAAATATCTGGTTAGATATTTTAGTTTTTCCCTGTATATAGTACGGGAACTTACTGTTAACCTATGAACAGTTTTTTTCCATAGCGTTTTTACAAAATTTTAGTTAAAATGACACTTATTTTTTACAGTGCATTTGTTGTCCCTCTTTCACATAACTTGCTTTTAATAATGAGTCCTAGTAATTAATAAATTGGGACTAGGATTTGAAAGTTTGTGAAGTTTACATATGAATCCCCAAAAGTGGCAATTTTAGCAATGTTTATTTAAATAAAAATATGTTGTTTTGGATAAAAGCATCTGCGAAAGGCCTATATATTAAATATCAACTATTAATGCAATCTGTGCTATTTAGAGAACCAATAAACAAGTAAAACATGTTTTTTGAAGAAAGACTGTTCCCAGGAGTGCTTACCCATGTGGCGCAGTGCTGTCTTTATCTCGGTCCATTCTTTCAGGGGGAATTCATTCAAGAGAAAATATCCAGCTCAGAAACTGTGACTGTAACCCATTCCATCCAGCGAGACAGTGAGTGCTCTTCCTTCCCAAATGTGTTTGACTTTCTGTTGCTGAATGATTGCATTACAAACAAGGGTGGCAGACTGTGGCATGTGTGTTTTTAGTAAACTCAATAGCGGCCATGTACAGCATTTAAAACTGCAGAATTAAATGACTGTCAATACACCAAACACTCCACTTCCAAAAATAAAGATAGGAATCTTGTATTTTATTGTTTGAAAATGTAACTTTAGTACTGCAGTAAATAATGATTTTAAGTTGGAGAAAATTGTGCACTGAGGCTGTCGTTTTTAAGTGTGCACTCAAACATTCTCCCTTATCAGAATGAAAGTATCACTGTGACCATAAAACAGTTGACACATGGCATTCGAGCTTCTCCATCTGTACTTTGGTGGTACCACTTTACAGTAAGCTTCTATACATTAATTAATGTGTATCAGGAGCTAAAATGTAAATAATTTTACAGCATTTTCCAATCTCACTTAATGTTAAGTCATAAACATACTATTATGCATATATTATAGCTTAATGTTAAATGTATTAGTAGAAATTGAAATGATCAAAGATTAATGCTGTAAAAGTGTTTTATTAGCCTACTGTTACTGTAAGTTCATGTTAACTATTGCCTAGGTAATGTTAACTTATGCAGTCTTATTATAAAGTGTTTAGTTTAATTGTATTTGAACAGCATTAACTTGTTCACAGTGTCTTAAGACATTTGTCAGGGACATAGTTTTATGGATTAAGTGCTTCAAAACATTAGTCAGTGTTTGAGATATTTAATGTCAAAGGTGCTAGCTACATACTGAAATAAATGTAGGTGTTTAAACTGGTCTGAAGCGCAAATGAAGCAATTTAGGTTGTTAATCTCCTACTTAGCAAGTCATAATTACTTAGCATGACACTGTTTGCTAACAGTGAAAAGCAGGATGTATATGGATACACCTCTGGTAAATATATGCACCAACAACTCAAACATTGAACTCCGTATTTGCCATCCCCAGTTTTTATTTATTTTATTTTGTTGTATTGAATCACTCTAAAAATGAAATATTACAAATTATATATATATACTGTATATATATATAAAATGAATTAGTGTCTTTAAACATGATCACAAAAAATGGTGGACAGTGTCTATATCCAGGAGGAAAATATATTCCTTTAGTCATTCTTGGTGCATAAGGAACCAAGAATCATACCCTCTCAAAAAAAAAAAAAAAGGTACAAAAGCTGGCACTGGGGCGGTAGCTTTTCGGTACTAATATGTACTTTAAGTTGTACTGTTTATGTACAAAGGTGTAGCTTTTGAAAAGGTACTGCCCTAGTGACAGCTTTCATACCTTTATTTCTGAGAGTGCAGATTCAGTGCAGTCGGAGGCTTTTCAGCAAATCTTTCACCCAGACAACTCTTTCTTTAACAAATAATAATGCAGTACAATTATTGCATTAATCATGTTGTATAGGAAAAAAAGAACATTTGTGCAACATAACATTGTAAATCCACTAAGCATGAAAAGTCTGTAGGAAAACTTCAGTGAATCATATGACTAAATAACTTGCATGATTTGTTTACAATGTGAGGATCAAAAATGTTATAAAAAAAGGCTAAGAGGGTTAGCATTATTACACGATATGTAACAAAATATCTCTAGTTTTAGCTTTCATAGAACTAGCACAATTCAAATTATTATGTGGCAATTCTTTAATAAATTATACAAATATACAAGTAAAATTGCAAAATATAATTAGACATGTTTAAAGTGATACATAAAATCCCAAAGTGCCCCAAACATTAAAAATATTTAAACGTTCTGTCTTCAAGCATTCAACTTCAAGGCTCATGGTTTGCTTTAGGACAAAATTCTGGAAAACAAAGAAAAAAAAAAACAATTCCCTTCATTAAAAAATTGTTTTGGTCACAATAATAGAAACAGTCTCTCTCTTCTGTGTGTAAGTGATACATAAAATCCCAAAGTGCCCCAAACATTAAAAATATTTAAACGTTCTGTCTTCAAGCATTCAACTTCAAGGCTCATGGTTTGCTTTAGGACAAAATTCTGGAAAACAAAGAAAAAAAAAACAATTCCCTTCATTAAAAAATTGTTTTGGTCACAATAATAGAAACAGTCTCTCTCTTCTAAAGCAAATATTTGCATGTTGTATGAAAGTTGTCTCCAAAGACTTAAAAAGCCCATGTACTCCAGAGCAAACATTATAATGACATTATAATGTACTTTCCGTTCAGTGACATAACAGATACACTCAGAAAAGAAAAGTACACAGGCTGTCTCCTTTCAAAAGGTACTAATATATGCCATATAGGTACTAATATGCACACCTGTTATCTTTAGGCTTTAATATGCACCCGTTAAGGGTAAAAAAGGTACAAAGATGTACCTTTTGAAAAGGTACCGCCCAGGTGACACCTTGTGTACCTTTTTTCCTGAGATGTTTGCAGAAATGGAGGGATGGTTCATCTGAGAGATGAAGGAGGAGAAAAACAGCACCTCTGCTGACAGCAGTCAGCAACAAGCACAAAAGACAGTCTGCCTACCTGGTATCAGAGGATATGAAATGAAGATGATGGTGGAGAGGGAGCCCTCCACTGGTGTTAAGAGAAAAGTGCTTCAATGCCTGCAGGAGTCAAGACCAGAGCCTGAAGCAAATCAGAGAGCGAGACGATTCCCCTCACCACATCCTCGGTGTCCACCAGCACTAGACGGTGAACCTGACAGAAACAGCGTAAGGACCTTTGGTCAGAGTAGATGACATTTCAACTGATGCAAATGAAAAAAAAAAAAAACATCAGTTCTTGAACACTATAATGAAGAAATAGGATGTGAGCAGTCATGATGCCATATGTAACATGGCGACTACCTCTGCCTCAGCAATACGATCGATGATGGTTTCGAGGGTTTCGTGAGGGTAACACTTCAGCACCCCCTCAATGCAGCACGAGCGGCTTTGAATGGCCTCCTGCATCGTCATGTTCAGGTTGTTGTAGTTTTTCTGCGCAGCCAAATTCTGTTGGAGTACATGTAAATAAAGATGATACCAACTTTATTCTTCGTTAAGTACATGTGAAAGTCATCCATTGTAACAACAACAAAAAAAAGGTGTCGAACGTGAGTCTACGTACAATGACATCAAATCTGGAGTAAAGTGCCACCACTTTCCCTAAAGAGAATGACAAATAGAAGAAACCACTCAGAAGACCTTCAGAAGTTAAAGACAAAGCAGAAAAACACAAGCAAACAGCCATACACAGTACCTTGTTCGTTGACAACAGGCAGGGCTGAGACCCGTCGCTCTACAAATATTGATAAAGCGTCATAAACCGTTTCTGTCTCTCTGACAGTTGCGACGGTCTTGAATGTTCCAATTTTCACTTCCTCAATCCGCTTCTGTAAGAATTGTGGCTTTGGGATCATAGAGCCCTGAGATTCGAAAAGCAAATACTCATCAGTGCAAAGCTATGGTGACAGTCAGCATAAGCATTTCATGGCAACAGTCTCATGGCAAATGATTAACATTGTGGTGAATTGATGGCTAATTCGTATGAATTCATACAATCTGTTTACACCCCAATGGTGGTTTGGTTTTGGGATGGGGTTCAGGTTGACCTCCATGCTTAACCTTTTATTCTAAAAACCATAAATTTCCGCATGAATGGTGTGGTACAAGTTCAAAAGAACTCGCCACTTTGTAAACTAGTTAAGTTTTTTTCATGAGATTGCGTTGAAAGTGCATTCAGTTGTTATGTTTTGCTAGCTGACATGACAGTCATTTTAAACTTATACTAGTGGTGAATATGTAGTATTACACAAATTGCACAAAAATGTGCAGAATGATAGTAAATGTGACCACATTTTAAGACAGCTTTTTGTCATCCCACTGAAGTGGGCATCATTTTAAACAGTAGTACTATTCGTTTATTTATGTGAAAAAAAAACGTCTAGGTTACTTGTGTAACCCTCGTTCCCTGAAGGAGGGAACGGAGACGTTACGTCAGTGACTGACGAATTGGGATCTCGCCCGAGAGCCCAATCACCTTCGAGTGTTAACTAAACAAGCCAATGACAGTTGGCGTGCGTGCTTCGCCACGCGCACCCCGCCCCGCAGCGCGGGTATCTACACGGAGATTATAGAATCTCGCAAACGTGTTAGGCGTCGCCCAGCCGGCAGCTCTACAGATGTCTGCTATCGAGGCGCCCCGCGCCAATGCCCAAGAAGATGCCACTCCTCTCGTAGAGTGAGCTCTCACTCCGAGGGGGCATGGTAAACGCTGGGCCTGGTATGCCAAGACTATAGCCTCCACTAACCAGTGGGCAAGTCTTTGTTTGGAGACAGCCTTTCCCTTCTGCTGACCTCCAAAGCAGACAAAGAGCTGGTCTGAGGTCCTGAAGCTCCGCGTACGGTCCAATGAGGTAAAATGACTGAGTGCACCTTTAATGAAATGTGATATCAAAAGTACAATGTAAAAGCTCTTACAAAGATGTGTAAGAACTTGAGGATGCGTTTATGGGTGAGTATGTGGAGGACGTTCCCCGACTCTGGATCTATGACGGGTAGCCGGTGAATCTTGTTCTTCAGTAAGGAATAAATGGCTTCGAAGAGGCTGCCAACAGGAAACACAACTCTCTGTCACTGGAAAGATAAAAGAAAGGGCAAACAAAGTGCTGTAGATGTCCTGCTTTACCTGGCGTCAGGTGTGATGCTGATCAGGGAGTTGAGAGAATACTGTAGATAGACCTCTGGAAGAGGGAACACATAGAGCTACTACTTTAAACCATTACAATGTGTGTGCAAATACATATTTATTCTCAAAACTCTACACAATCACCTCTCCATGTTTCAATCTTGTGTTCCTCCAGCTCATAGATCTGAACCTAAAACAGAAAAAGTACATGATCTTTGTTTATATCCGATATCTAATTCTGGATACATCACCATTCAAATGTTTGGGATTGGTAAGATTTTTTTTTTTTATGTCTTTGAAATTTTTTGAAAGAAAACTCATCAAGGCTGCATTTGTTTAATCAGATATACAGTAAAACAGTAATATTGTGAAAATTAATTACAATTTGTATTCTATTCTAATATATCTTAAAATGTAATTTATGTCGGTGATGCAAAGCTCAATTTGTCACATGATCATTCAGAAATCATTCTAATATGCTGATTTGCTGCTCAAGAAACATTTCTTATTATTATCAATGTTATAATACAGTTGTGCTGCTTAATATTTTTGTGGAAACTGATAATTTTTTTTTTTTTAGGATTACCATGGGAGATCTGTAGTAACGATGGAGAATGTTGATAAAGTCTGTAATGGTGAGCATCCCTGCAAAGACAGAAATAGCACATGGAGAACATGAGCACTCAGCTTTAAATTCAAATTCAACAATTTATTCTTACAAGCTGATCTGAAACTGACCGGACAGTACTGCATGTAAATAAAGTTACTAAGCATTATAGTTTGAAATTAAAGTATCAAGAGGCAAACATTAGCATAAACATACTAACTCTCACTATGCACTGAAATAGGAACACACTCCTGTGCCCAAGCTTCCTTTCAGTAGGAGGATAGGCTTTCTCATTAGCATGGCTATTATTACTCCCAGAGAAGGTTTAGGGGATTAGAGCTCTACCCTGCCATTTCCCACCAGATACCACGGCCCAGAAGCCACACTAAACTTAGAAGCTGGCACTGATGGAGGGGATGGGTGCTGAGTATGATCAATCTGTAAGTCCCAGACACTGACAGTGCTACAAATCAAAGCTGTGTCTGACATGTACAGTATGTGTATACATGATGTGTCCTCGCTTGTACACTACCGTTCAAAAGTTTGCAGTCTGTAAGATTTTTTAATGTTTTTGAAAGAAGTCTCTTATGCTCACCAAGGCTGCATTTATCTGATCAAAAATATAGTACAAATTATTACAATTTGAAATAACTGCATTCCCTTTTAATATATATTTTATTTCCGTGATGGCAGGAATCTTCAGTGTCACATGATCCTTCAGAAATCAATCTAATATGCTGATTTGCTGCTCAAGAAATATTTCTTATTATCTGTGCTGAACAGCTGTGTTGTTTATTATTTTTCATGGAAACCGTGATACAGATTCTTTGATGAATAGAAAGTTCAAAAGAACAGCATTTATACATAATAAAAGTTATTTACTGTCAATTTGATCATCCTTGGTCAACTCATCCTTGGTGAATAAAAGTATTAATTTCTTAAAAAAAAAAAAAAAGAATCTTACTGAACCCAAACTTTTGGGCTGAAAACACTTTTGCTGCTTAATATTTTGTTTTGTGGATTCTTTGATAAATATAAAGTTTTAAAAAACAGCATTTATTAGAATAAGATAAGATATAAGAATTGTTTTGTAACATTATAAATGTCTCTAGTGTCACTTTTGACCAATTTAAAGCATCCTTGCTTAATTTCTTTCCAAAAACACACTTTTAAGCAGTTTATGTGAATTGCTCTGTGTTGGTGCTGCAATTTACTAAAAAAAACAGCAAAGCATCTGTTGAGAGCAGTTTATGTGGTTATATATATATATATATATATATATATATATATATATATAACTCAGCTCAGGGACGCCACTCCTCTGTGGTTTCGTTTGAAACCCTAGTTTTTTGGCAGAGCAAAAATAGTCAAAATGACTAAAAATGTTGTCTAAAATTCAAGATTCTCAAAATAAACCTTTGTTTAATGAACTGTTGAATAAAATCAATTTTACAAGCCACAGTCATGCTGTTGGTCTGAATATTACCAACAGCCTCATGCCTAGAGCCATTTGTGACTGTGATCTTGCTTGATATTGCAGCAGTCAGTGACATGCATTTTCTATACAGAACTGAAATCCTGCCACAGAACGCTGCATAGAAGGATCTATTACCTCAACAGTATTACAGACAAATCAGGTTACATATAACATTCCTCACATTCTAACCATAAATGATTAGATATAATTCAACGCCAACCAATTAACATGCACTCTCACATAATTGTTTCGATTCCGTATATTATTTAATGCTGAACCAAAGCCTAAAACCTAAACTTACCTAAAACTTTAACACAAGTCTTTTGCTACCTTGCAATCTCTGGTATTTCAGGAAAAGTACCTGTAGTTAATTATTATTAGAAATAATGTTTTTCGACTACATATCTCTACCTCACATTGAACTTGATTTCCACAGAGGCCTCGTCTCCATGCACTGTTCAGATCTCCAACAATAACCTCAAACATAAACACAACGTACAAAGCAACCAGAATAACTAGTTATTCATGTGTTATCTGTTGAATCCACTAATTGTGGATTATCAACACTGAAACAAGCCTGGGCGCTTACTCAAGCCAGCCCGCTGCCGATCACTCAAGCCGGCCTCCGCTCACTCTAGCTGCTAGCCACCGCTCACTCTAGCCCGCAGGCCTCTGCTCACTCAAGGCTGCGGTGAGTGACGCCGTGTTTCATTGTGAAAGCGAAACTACTTTGTTTGGCTTTGTTACACAACTAGAAATCAGTGGTTAAGTTGTATTTACAACACTGTTCAGATGTGTCCAGCAGTTTTTTTTATGGAGGATGTTTCCTGATCCTGGGAGAGTAGACTACAATGCCGGCTGTTCTAACTCACAGACTGTAAGTACGTTTTTTTATATTTGAAGGATTTGCCACTGACGATTCAAACGCGAGTTTTGAGCAGTGTAGAGTAGCACTTGTTGTTTGTTGTTTCTCTGATCACAAATGCAGACATGGTTTTATGTTTACGTGGCGCGATGCAACGCAACACGTAAAAAGTCAGTAAAAGTCATTATAATCCATAACTATGTCCCCACTGGATGCAACAAATGCCTCGTTTATAATGGGTTTTCATGTTTTTACGTTTTTTTATATCACACTGGATAGCTGGCCAATCAGAGCACAACTTGCTTTTCAGACCGATGAGCGTTGTAAAAATGAACACGTTTCAGAAAGGACACCTTGCTTTTCAGACCGATGAGCTTTGTAAAAATCGACGCATTTCAGAAAGGCGGGGCATAGAGGAGAAACAATAATGTACAGTATGTGGAAAATAATGTGTTTTTTTAAACTTAAACCGCATAAACACATTTCAGTACACCAAATACACAAAATAATGTTTTTTTGCATGGTACTTTGTCAAAATTTGTCACTCGTTGTGACTTGACATCTTCCAGCTTCACACTACTTCCACACCATATGCGCGGGTGAGGGGTTATCAAGGTATGATGTGACACACACACAGGCAAAAATCGGTCCCGATGGCTGTAAAAAAGAAATCATTATTATAGGTTTAAAAAAGTGTAGCAGGGTACAATGAAGACACTGTTTGGAAAATGTATTATTTTTTACACTCATTAACATTAAAAACAAACAAAACAAAACAAAAACAAACAACAAAAAAAGTGTAGCTTTTTAAAATATCACCAAAATGGAAAATAAATAAATACCCAATAAAATAACAAAATATAAAGGACTTTTCCAGGTCTAGAAATAACACTTTTATCCCCATTAAAACTGCCCCATTTATCCAGGACTGTGTGAACCCTGGTTTTTAAAAGAAAGAGAGGGGGGGAAAAAACTGTTGTTGAGGGGTGAATAAAAATAGGAAATATTTAGATTTTTTGTTGTTTTTGCATATTTTAAAAGGTGCCATATCATGAAAATCTGACTTTTCCAGGTTTTAAGTGCTATAATCAGGTCCCCGGTGCATCTACCAACCAAGGAAACGTGAAAAAGATTAACTCAGTAACTGTTTTGGTAAGCCTTTTCTACAAGCGTCTGAGAAATCGAGCGCATCTGATTTCGCTCCCTTGGTGACGTGGTAAAGGGATCTCATTATAATATTACTGCCCCTTAATCTGCAAATTTACACCCACGGCGCCGTTATTGTGTTTTCGCAAGCAACAACGGTGTACTAGTTTTAATGCCATGGCGAAAGTTTGAGCAAAACATGCTAACTGTTCTGTCATTACCTGCACAGACGAGCACAGTTTACAGTCCCAGCCTCAGAGGAGACAAGAGAGCAGTGGATTTATTGATTTATTTAGGCTACTGTATGTTGCTGCTGCCACACAGATCTAAAATAAACATGCAATTTATTTCCCAGCTGTTTACCTTCACAGACATAACCGACTGTTTTTTGTAACTCACATGTGTTTTTAACGAAAACTTGTGTGTGAATGAGAACTTAGTTTAGTAGCTTCGGATGTGTGCACTCAGAAAACCATATATCAGAAGTTTAAATATGGTTTAAAACGCATGATTTCAGCGCGATAAACATGATAATCAGAACCAAAACAGATGTTTTTTTTTAGCAGGTATGAGCTGTAATGGCACAGCTCTATTCTGGAAAAGAGGGCGGGGAGCAGCAGCACATTTGCATTTAAAGAGACAGGCCCGAAAAACATCATGTTTCTGCTTCCACTCAAAATAGGCATTTTCAAAATGATATAATAAATGATCTGTCGAGTATTTTGAGCTGAAATTTCACACATTCTGGGGACACCAGAGACTTATATTACATATTGTAAAAAGGGGCATAATATGTCTCCTTTAAAGCTTGTTTGGTCTTACTTTAAAATTAAATCAAATTTGGTCATCTTGAAGCCCCCAGAGTGGCCACTGATTGAGAACAGCTGCTGTACACTGTTTGTGTTTGCTAGGAGCAATTGCAAAAATATCACTAATTACAGAAGTAAACACACTGTCAGTGCTCAATAGTAACTAAACACACACTAAAGGCAATCTGCCCCTATGAGACGTTATTTCTGTAAGCTATCCATGTGGTTGAAATACCAGTCAGCCAAGTAGTTGTTGCATAAAACAGTTGATATCCCCAAAATAACCACAAGCACAAGTGTGATCAAGATCCAGAGATCAACTCTTACTTACTATTCAACTCACTTTTGAAGAGCTAATAAAAAATTGTTATGAAAGAATGAAATGGTCATAATTCAAATAAAGCAATTTTAATTAAAAAAAAACCTTAACCTGAGCATGTTGTCTGCCTTCAGCAGGGCATGCAAATGTCATTAAAAGACATATGACAGTGATTTTTATTTTTACAATAGTATTTATTTTCCAAATTTCACATTTCATCCCACACGTTTAAAATAATCAGCCCAACAGATGCCTGTACTATACACAGACCTGTGATGTGAACAAATCAGAAGTATCTATAGGCTCATATGGAAACAATCAAAACCCCAAACAGGAAGTGCTTATTCCTTCCTGCCACCCACATGCACTGTGTATTTACACCTGCATGTGTGGTCCAGCAACAAAATACTCATTCAAAATATG